GGATTTGCTGCTATTCTTTCATGGACTGTAACTAACATTGTAACATCAACACATTTATTAGGTTATAGTCATATGAGCAAGTAGAGTCATTTAAATATAATTAGAACTGTTCACAAGTATTTTTACTATAGAGGAAAGTACTAACCATAGCCATTCAAGATATTGGTGCCGTAACTAATGGAGAAGCTGAAAGCAATTCGTGGTGGCCATAGAAGTGCCATCACAAGACTGGTCAATAGAACAGATGACAAAATTTCGGAAAATGAGATAGGAAATCAAGAACTTTCAGCAGCCATAGAAACACTAGTGAAGAAGAGGAACTTCATTGAAAATTTGGACACACAGATTCTAGATGGAACAGAAGTTGAAAATATGGAACAGGAAATTTTGGACAGTGACGAATATAATTTACATTTGGAAGTGGCCATTCATAAATTCAAAGACATTCTATCAAACTCAGGAGCTAGCTGGCCATGGAAACATTCCCATATAGGTTTGACTACATGGATACAGGCATGTAATCTAGAAAATACATCAAATATCAGCAATCGCACTATGAACTATATATATACAACTTCAGACAGGATTTTACCCGTTTAATCTTTAAAAAACCTAAACTGTACGACTTTTAACCTTTTTATTCTCATGAAAAATTAGTTCCCTGTGATGATATATGATGATAAAGTGTTCATTTTATCTCCTTAAAATTCTCATGTGAAAAAAAAGAATTTCATATTGGGTTTGCTTTTTAAATTCATAAGAATAATTAATTCTACATTTCAAGTAGATATAAGAAGATGTGGTATGAGTGCCAATGAGATAACTCTCCATCCAAGTCACAATTTATAAAAGTAATCCATTATAGGTCAAAGTACAGTCTTCAACACAGAGCCTTGGCTCACACCGCACAGCAAGCTATAAAGGGCCCCAAAAATTACTAGTGTAAAACCATTCAAACGGGAAAACCAACAGTCTAATCTATATAAAAAACGAGAAACGAGAAACACTTATGAACCCACATCAACAAACGACAACTACTGAATATCAGATTCCTGACTTAGGACAAGTGCAAAAAAATGCAGCGGGTTTAAACGTTTTAATGGTACCAAACCTTCACCCTTATCTGAAACAAAAGTGTAACATCACAACATAGAAAGACACACTATAAAATATCAATTGAAATATGGCTTAACTCAATCAAAAGACATATTAACACAAGTGAACATACACTGAACGAATAAATTTGATCTATGATACAATGTAAATACAAAATCAATAAAATAAGGGATGAATAATTAAAGTAACAGTATTATACCGCTGTGAAATGTTTAACAATTGCAGAAAAACAACAATAACCTTAAACAAAAATCCGCCATTTACAATAATATTATACCCAGGTAAATGACAATAATTTTGTTGTTAGGTATACAGTTTAAAAAGGAGAAAGGAAATATTTTTACAAAATAAATAATTTTGATGTTCATAGTTCGAAGAAGTGAAAATTTATAGTAATACCAAACATTTATTAAAGCTGGTATATAGGCACATTTGTAGCATTTTTTATGTAACCGTTTTCTTTAAATGACATGTTTATGTCCCAATTAACACCTTTGATGATCGTTAATCTGTTGATCATTCAATCTCAGGTTAATTAATGTCATGACTTCCGATTACAATGTTGACTTTGCAATTTCCTTCAATCGAGATGATTTGGAAGAATAAATGAATCAGCTTATTTCCTAAAGCAATTATTTTATTGAAAAAAAGATGAATATTGTCAGTAATGATAGACAAGTAAGTGAAAATGAACACCTTATTTTGCAATGTCCCTCAAATCATTATAGTACTATAAGCAATAGGTCAAGTATATATGTGGTGTATGGAATGATTGTAATGTGTATATGTCTGTCTGGCAATTGTCATCTGACCTTGACCTCATTTTCATGGTTCATTGGTCAATCTTAAGATTTTCCTGGTTAAGTTTGTTTCTTAGATACTATATGCAGTATGTCAACTATATCTAAAGTATGTAATGATTGTAAGGTGTAGATGTCTGTCTGGCAGGGTTCATCTGACCTTGACCTCATTTTCATGGTTCATTGATAATGATAAGTTTTTCTGGTTAAGTTTGTGTCTTAGATACTATGTGCAATAGGTCAACTATATTTAAAGCATATTTGGTGTATGGAATGACTGTAAGGTGTACATGTATTTCCAGTTTGGTTTATCTGACCTTGACCTCATTTCCTGAATCATGTTAAGTTTATGTGATAGTTGTCGTAAAGCTTTATATTTAGGACTATCAACAAGAAATTAATGGTCAGTAAAGAAGGAGAGATATTTCAGCGTGTGCACTCTTGTTTAAAGGTCCAGCAGCAAATATTTTAACATTTCCAACAACTAGCAATATAAATCACAACACAAATCAGACACAGGAAGAATTTCACAACTCATTTTTTGCAATCACGGAGCAAACACAATATACATCCCTTCTCCAAATTTTTATTACAGACTTTCAAAGTTACACTTGCCAACATTTTCAGGGGATTTTCTATACACTGGCATACATTTTGGGATTCTTTTAGATCAACCGTACACTAGAACCCTGCTCTTACAACAACCAAAAGTTCAGTTACCTAAATTCACAACATCAATATGAGTGAGCACAATGTTTTGCAGGATTAGCCCTAACCAATGCAAACTTATATGAACAAGCAATTACATGGTCAGACACAGGATACATATGGATTCCTTCTTGTATCATCATTTCTGGAAAACTACCCGCAGAAATGAGGAAAAATTTAACACATAAAATCGCTGGGTGAAGCATTAGCAAAGGAGATGTATGTTCAAGAGGCAGGTAATGTCAATATGTCCAACAATCTGACAGCAATTACTTCTTTTTACATGGGAGCAATTCCTAAGACGAGCACAAATAAACAACAATGTAGGTGAAGTCAGAGCAAGACTATGAATGTACACACGCTTGACAACTAAACCATGTGTATTTTGCAAACAGTCGCATTCATCAGTAGATTGTACAAACATTGTAGACCATTAAAATGCAATACCATAATTAAACAGAAAACCTTTGTTTCAATTGCCTCAGAAATCATAAAGTGTCAGAACTCTGTTCTAAATTTAAATGCTGTAATCGTAATAATAAACATCTCACAAGCTTATTTAATCAAGACAAGACAAGGCATGATATCCGTAAATATAGTTGATGTTGAAGAAGGAAATAATAATACATCCATATTTTATGCTTTATCAACATTGCCCATGCAAATTAGAACGGATTTTCCATGTTTGCTACAGAAAACAGCAATTTCACAATATCAACAGTTTGGACAGACACTATCCGCAAATATACTGATAGACGAAAGATCACAGAAATCTTTCATTTCCAAAGATTCAGTCACAAAATTACAAATATAAACAAAGGGAACAGCCAATGTCAGTCTTGCAGCATTTCAAGACCCAAACAGGAATCAGGAATCTGTGTAACCTTGATAAATAGGTTAGAAACCCAACAAGGAGAGAGAATAGCAATGGAAGTGCTTATTGTACCCACAATAGTTGCCCCTCTACAGAACTAAAATAATTACAAAGCATCTAAACTTCCTTATTTACAAGGATTAAGTTTAGCACACCCTGTATGTGAAGAAGATGAACTTGGGATTTCTTTGCTAATAAGCACAGACTACTATTGGGACATTGTTGAAAACAAAATAATTCACAGAAAAGGTCCAACCTCTGTTAAATATCAGCTTTAATGATGTATATTTTGGTGCGATATAAAAAAAGAGGACATTGATATAGAGCATTTTTGGAATGCATGAGAGTAACAGTCACTGTGGATGATGAATCAATACAGACAAACAGAGATTTTTAAAAACATATCAGAAATTTAGCATTACATGCATTATGTGCAAAGATAATTGGAATATCGCTGAATTACAGTGGAAATAGGATTTTCAGGAAATACCATCTAACTACCATATAACAAAATGTCGTACTGAAAATTTAATACACAACTTCAGTAAGGACTAAGACATTGAAAATATACAGAAGTATAATTGAAAATCAAGGAAAGGATTTGTTGAGCATGTTGAGAAGGTTTTTTAAATAATGAGGAAAAATTAAGTCAAAACTGAAAACTTTTTATAAAGTTTGAAAATGAAAGCAAAACCCTTACCTTATAGTAAGCTATAAAAAGCCTTGGCGTGACAGTTAAATCATAATCAACAACCTGAACAACAACTATTTACACAACCAATGATGAAAGCTAGGAGAAATATATGTACAGTGTATGCTAGAATATGATATCCAGAAAAGCGTTATAAGGATGCACGAAATTACAAAGACAAAGTACTATTATTTTTTCTTGAAATGTAAATGTTATCATCAGGCTCCATTATACTAGTAATGGATTTCTGCTATATCATATGTATACTTATGAATAAAGAAGATTTTGGACAAAGTGCTATTATTTTTTCTTGAAATGTAAATGTTATAATGACTCCATTATATGCTAGTAATGGTTTTCTGCTATATTATATATATATATATATATTACTTATGAATAAATAAAAAGTTGGAAAATGTCAATGAGACATCAACCTAATGAAAAAAACAACTAGCAAAAAAATCAAAACAAATAGAAGTCAGCATACCGTCTTAAGTTAGCAGAAAAGTTTATACTTTATGTCAAACTCCAAATCCGCCTAATCTATAAATAGACAATTAACTGTTTCAGAATCTAATGGTTATTTATATTTTTAGTTCCTTCCCCGAATTGAAATAGCATCATGTCATTGCCTCATTGTTCATGTTGTTTGAATTTCCATATAGTTTACAAATGGTTTTGGAGGTCGTTATCAAATTATCACATTTTGATGGGGGCTTAAGAAAATATTACCCAGAATGCATTAAATTCTGAAAAGGCTAATTCATGTTAATGGTATGTCTAATTTCATCTTAACCATGATTATTTTCAGAATTCAAGTAAACTGTTAACAGAGAGCATGGGAAATTGCAAAGGGAAAAATTCCAAAGAAAGTAAAAGCCAGATGAGAGGGGAAGCTTATAGACCTACCAGTAGTAAACCAGATACTATGCAAGGACAAGAGACAGGCAATGTAGGGGATAAACTAGATAATAAGAATGGTAACAAAGAGGATGCAGTAGTTACAAATGATAAGTTACCATTTGTAAATTCAGAAACCCTAACAAAATCTGAAACTGTGTTACAGGGTACCAGTACAAACAAAAGTGTATCTGATACAAATGGATTAAAAGCAAATGATCACATGGGAAAACAAGATAAAAAACAGCTTGAATCAGATGCCATTCCAGAAAAACCTGTTGAAAAACCAAATAAAGATGTACTATCTACAGAAAATATTAAAAACAATAGAGAAGAGATGAATTTGAACGAGGTTCCAACAGGCATTTCATTGAAAGTTCCTGGATCCAAGTCAGATGATGCAGAAATTGACAAGCCCTATTGTAAGTAAACTCATCTCACAGAATATTTATTGATATAATTCAAACAGTTTTGTCATTTAATTTTTATACGCCCGCAAAAAAATGTTGGGATCTCATATTGCTATCATGTTTTCGTCTGAGTCATCCGAAAACATTTGGTTTCCGGACAATAACTTTAGTTTAAGTGTATGGATCTCTATGAAATTTTACCAAAAGGTTCAATACCACTGAAGAAAGGTTGGGATTGTTTTTGGGGGTGATGGTCCCATGTGTTTGGGAATTAGGGGCCAAAAAGGGGCCCAAAACAAGCATTTTTCTAGTTTCAGGACAATAACTTATGTATAAGTATATTGATTGCTCTGAAATTGTACCACAAGGTTCAATACCACAAGTCAAAGGTTGGAATTCATTTTGGGGGTAATTGTCCAAACCGTTCAGGAATTAGGGGCCAAAAAGGGTCTGAAACAAGCATTTTTCTAGTTTTCAGACAATAACATTGATGTCTCTTAAAATGTACCACATTTTACAAAAGAAAATTTTTTGAAATTGGGGTCACAATTGCTTATTCTTTGTATATAGTTTGAAAACAGATTTACAAAGTATTGCGCAACAACACAGTGTATTGCACAAAAGCAAGAAATCTTCAATTGAATATAATTTCAAATCATATAACCAATTTTAAGTTCTTTGACTACATTTATTCTGTGTCAGAAACCTCTAATGTGTCAAATATTTAATTACAATCCAAATTCAAGGGTTGTAAAAGCTTCTTCCCTTCATACAAAATGTACTTCGGTCAACGCTTTTACACCCCAATAAATTTACAAAAAGAAGCATTCAATTCTTAATTAATGCAAAGTGAAATTTACCATTTGGATGAATAATTTTCAGTTTTTATACGACCGCAAAAATTGAAAATTTTTTGGTCGTATATTGGTATGACGTTGGCGTCATCGTCGTCGTCGTCGTCGTCTGGCGTCGTCCGAAGACACATTGGTTTTCGCACTCTAACTTTAGTTTAAGTGAATGGATCTCCATGAAATTTTACCATAAGGTTCAATACCACGAAAGGAAGGTGGGGATTGATTTTGGGGGTTATGGTACCAACAGTTAAGGAATTAGGGGCCAAAAAGGGGCCAAAAATAAGCATTTTTGTAACTTCCAGACAATAACTTGTGTGTAAGTTTATGGATCTCTCTGACATTGTACCACAAGGTTCCATATCACAAAGGGAAGGCTGTAATTGATTTTGGGGGTAATTGCCTCAAAATTTTAGGAATTAGGGGCCAAAAAAGGGGCAAAAAACAAGCATTTTTCTAGTTTCATGACAATAACTTGTGTGTAAGTGTTTGGATATTTCTGAAATTGTACTACAAGGTTCCATATCACAAAGGGAAAGCTGGAATTGAGTTTGGGGGTAATTGCCCGAAACGTTTAGGAATTGGGGGCCAAAAAGGGGCCAAAAATAAGCATTTTTCTAGTTTCCAGACAATAACTTGTGTTCAAGTGTATGGATCTCTCTGAAATTGTACTGCAAGGTACCATACCACAAAGGGAAGGCTGGGATTGAGTTTGGGGGTGATGAATCATAAGGGGGTTCAAAAAATTTGGGGGGGGATTTTTTTATTTCTTTTTTTTTCTTTTTTTCCTTTTTTTTTTCTTTTAAAATTTTCCATTTTAAGTTGGTTATTTCTGATTAATATTTAAAAGCAAATAATAATGATATGGTAGGAGATACACACCAAACAGGATGTGTAAATTATTATATAATAAGTATTGTGCAATAGCAAGAAATTTTCAATTGCACAGTATTGCACAATAGCAAGAAATCTTCAATTGCACAGTATTGCGCAATAGCAAGAAATATCCAATAGCACAATATTGCGCAATAGCAAGAAATTGTCAATTGTACAGTATTGCACAATAGCAAGAAATATTCAATTGCACAGTATTGTGCAAAAGAAGATACTTCGTATAAATTGCTTATTTCTTGATCAATTTCAATGGGGTTTTATTCTTGAATTCTTGGGGTTCTTTAATATGCTGAATCTAACCGTGTATTAAGTTTTTGGATTTTGGGCCCCGTTTTTAAATTGGTCCACATTGAGGTCCAAAGGGTCCAAAATTTAACTTTGTTTGATTTCATCAAAAATTGAATTATTGGGGTTCTTTGATATGCCGAATCTAACTGTGTATTTAGATTCTTAATTTTTGGTTCCGTTTTCAAATTGGTCTACATTAAGGTCAAAAGGGTCCAAAATTAAACTTAGTTTGATTTTAACAAAAATTGAATTTTTAGGGTTCTTTGATATGCTGAATCTAAACATGTGTTTAGATTTTTGATTATGGGCCCAGTGTTCAAGTTGGTCCAAGTTGGGGTCCAAAATTAAACTTTGTTTGATTTCAACAAAAATTGAATATATGGGGTTCTTTGATATGCTGAATCTAAACATGTATTTAGATTTTAGATTTTTGGCCCAGTTTTCAAGTTGGTCTAAATTGGGGTCCAAAAGTAAACTTTGTTTGATTTCAACAAAAATTGAATATATGGGGTTCTTTGATATGCTGAATCTTACCATGTATTTAGATTTTTTATTTGTGGGCCCACTATCAAATTGGTTCATATTGAGGTCAAAAGGGTCCAAAATTAAACTTTGTTTGATTTCATCAAAAATTTAATTATTGGGGTTCTTTGATATGCCAAATCTAACCGTGTATTTAGATTTTTAATTTTGGGTCCTGTTTTTTAAATTGGTCTACATTAAGGTCCAAAGGGTCCAAAATTAAACTTAGTTTGATTTTAACAAAAATTGAATTTTTGGGGTTCTTTGATATGCTGAATCTAAACATGTGTTTAGATTTTTGATTATGGGACCAGTTTTCAAGTTGGTCCAAGTTGGGGTCCAAAATTAAACTTTGTTTGATTTCAACAAAAATTGAATATATGGGGTTCTTTGATATGCTGAATCTAAACATGTATTTAGATTTTTTATTTTGTGGGCCTGCTATCAAATTGGTTCATATTGAGGTCAAAAGGGTCCAAAATTAAACTTTGTTTGATTTCATCAAAAATTGAATTATTGGGGTTCTTTGATATGCCAAATCTAACCGTGTTTTTAGATTTTTAATTTTGGGTCCCGTTTTTTAAATTGGTCTACATTAAGGTCCAAAGGGTCCAAAATTAAACTTAGTTTGATTTTAACAAAAATTGAATTCTTGGGGTACTTTGATATGCTGAATCTAAACATGTGTTTAGATTTTTGATTATGGGACCAGTTTTCAAGTTTGTCCAAGTTGGGGTCCAAAATTAAACTTTGTTTGATTTCAACAAAAATTGAATATATGGGGTTCTTTGATATGCTGAATCTAACCATGTATTTTGATTTTGGACAACGGACCATAATAGGTAAATTAAAAAAATTGAAGTTCTTAGACCACATTCTTTCTGTGTCAGAAACCTATGCTGTGTCAAATATTTAATCACAATCCAAATTCAGAGCTGTATCAAGCTTGAATGTTGTGTCCATACTTGCCCCAACTGTTCAGGGTTCGACCTCTGCGGTCGTATCAAGCTGCGCCCAGCGAAGCATTTTATTAAATTATGTAGTTGTACAGTAAAACCTGCTATAAAAGTCAAGTGTAATAAGCAAAAACCTGTCTTGTCATGTCACCCTCTTCTTGGCCCTCTGTAGTAATACTTATTCCTTTTGAGCCTCAGGTCATAGGTCATCCTCTTGTAAGGTAAATTTTCTTTCTGTTTAAATTATTCACAACTTTTATACACTCTGGGACATTTAAGCTTGAAATATTTTATAGACATGATAGACACCTGGTGAAACTGTCATGTTGCTCTCTAAATGTCTTTTGGTTATTTCTGTTGTTGGGTTGCTATCTCATTGATGAACACCCGACAACCATGTTACAACTCCCTTTATCAATATGTATTTTTATTATTTTAGTATTTTCCAAAGGAGTTCCAGGAGAAGAACCACAAACTGAAGATTCAGGTTTTACCTACAAAATAACTGGTGTAAAAGATCCAGCACCTACAGGTTAGGACAAAAAAAATTCCTACATATTATACATTCTTACTTTAAAATAATTTTGATCAGAAATATTAAACAATATATTTTATAAAATAATATTGTATTCTACTTTATGAAGTGATATCAGATAATAATTTAAATATTTTTAAACTAGAAACATATATATAATTTTTTGTATTTGAAGATCAAAGTAGTAGCTCTCATGAGACTGTTCCAACTGAAAAAGCAATAGATGAAGACAAAAGCTCAACAACAGAGGATGACAAGTTACAGCCGGAAAATACTTCATCTGACAAGTTACAGCCTAAAAATACTCCGTCTGATAAGTCACAGCCTGAAAATGCTCCATCTGATAACCAACAGAACAATAATGATTCTACAGGCTATAATCGTTCTAAATTTTCTAATCCTGGTGATGAACAGGTACAAAACAAACAGGTTTTTTCTCACTTGTGTTGATTCATTAGAAGATATATATTGCATCTTCCCTTTTTTCATCATACTTGAATCATGTCTTTTTTTGTTTAAGAGTTGTTGCCCTTGGATAGGTATTCTCTGTATGATTCTTATAGGAAAATGATAAAGTTTAATAGATTTTCTGTAAATAATATATTTAAGATCCCCAAAAGTTATCATAAGGTACATCTGAATACTGATTTAAATAACAAATATGTGATTTGACTATTTAGGTAAAATTGATCGTATAAAATATTACGGTAAGCTTAAAAAGTTACTTGCAATATAATCATTATGAACTCTAAGAAAACTGAAGAAAAAAAAGGTTGAATTATATTATAGCTATTTGAGGTAATTGCATTTATTTTCCACTTGCTTGAACAAAGTTTTGGAGGAAGAACAACATTTCATCAGCAGATTTGTCTGTCCATCTATCTCTCTTTCTTCATCATGATAAGTGCACTGGCATCTAGTGTTCTAGTCAGATTATGATATAAATTCATGTCAAGGTTTTCAAAGCAAATTATTTCAGATGAGTTCTGTGATAAGGACTAATCATTTAGTTTTGGGATGTTATGCCCCTTTCACATGACAAAATATGAGAATTTGCAATGTGCTGAGATAAATAAAAAAAAATGTAAGCAATATTGAAAAGCACCATTGTTATTGCTGTTGCCTCTTTATTTCAATTGATGTCAAAGGTTAACAATCAGCAATGACTCTGATGAGTTGTTAAGTCAGTGTGTTGGTAGAGTATATGTCCTTCAAGCTTGACTCCTTGGGAATGTAAATAATATGGAAAATCAACATTGTAAAAATGTTCTCACCTATAAAATTTTCATCAGAGTTTAATACAATTTATGTCAAAGGTTAACATCAGCAATATCGCAGGATTGATTATTTTCATGAAAGTAATGCCCCTTGGAAATATAAATGATATTGAAAATTTCAGTACATCCAAGGGGGACTTTGTTTGAAATTTAAAATGGAGACATTGGTGTTATAATTAACCACGAGAAAAATTGTCCTGGAAATGTTCCTTGTTCATTGTTGTAGAGATTACCGTATCTTATCATTTGTGAAGTTTTAGAAATGCATTTTAATATGTTCATGGGAAATTTTGTTTTTGTTTTCATAGGATAAAAAAATGTCAAAGGAAATGAAAGAAATTGATGGTAAAAAAAAGAAAAAAAAGAAAAAGAAACCAGATAAATATGGTGAGGTCCAGCATATTATTGATACTCTGCTAGAGTAATGCATGCAGTATTTAGAATTCCTATTTTCTTTTATGAAGGGAATATAAAGATCTGTTCAAGAAAACTAAAAATAAGTAAAAACTAACTTTCCTACAGAACTGTACTAGATAATTAGGGAGTATCTCAAAATCTTAAGTTAAGGTGGTACCAAACACCTCGACTTAAATTAATTTGGCTCGTTTAATTTTCATAAAGCTTTGACAAAATATTTACTTTGACCCTTTGACAAAAATATAAAATTTCAAAAAACCTGAACCACACACTTTATCAGAAAAATTTCATAGGATATATAGCAGTTTGACAAACACTAATTTTGATCATTGAGAAGCTTAATATTTCCTTTACAATAGAACATGATTAATCCATTCAGCTGATTTTAACAGAGTTATCTCCCTGTAGTGTTATGTACCACCTTAATGAAAATGTCTCAAACAAATACATTACTTATTAACCAATTATATAGTAAAAGTTAAAATTTGATATTGACTTTTCATTTTTCAGATCCACCTCCAAATGCTAACATACAAAACTATTATGGAAATGTAGATGTGTTAAACCTTGGTAATGGTAATGTTTACATGGGTAAAAAGGAGAAAGAAGAGGAAAAAGGTGATAGCATTTTCTTAATTACCTTTTAAGTTAACCTAGATAATGTCATTGGATACTTATCAACACAAAACATCCAAAATCATGCATCTTCTCCCAAAGGATCAATTTAGCTATTTTTATCCGACCGCAAAAAATTTTTGTGGTCGTATATTGGTATCACGTTGTCGTCGTCATCGTCCAAAGACAGTTGGTTTCCAGACAATAACTTTAAATAACTTTAGTATAAGTGATAGATATCTATGAAATTTAAACACAAGGTTTATAACCACAAAAGGAAGATTGGGATTGATTTTGGGGATTATGGTCCCAACAGTTTAGGAATTAGGGGCAAAAAAAGGGGCCCAAATAAGCATTTTTGTAGTTTTCAATAACTTGTGTTTAAGTGTATGAATCTCTCTGAAATTATACCACAAGTTTCCATACCACAAAGGGATGGTTAGGATTGACTTTGGGGGTTATGGCTCAAACCAAAAAAAAGGGGAAAACCAGGGTTTCCTGGTTAATGGACAATTTTAAAGCAGTGTAAGGGAGGTAATCCAATCACATTTAGTATACAATGTTGTGTATGTTTTGGATTACCTCCCTTACACTGCTTGTAAATTATGTATAAAAAATGCTGTATTGTCTTGAGGTGATTAGCTGTCAATTTATTTTTAAATGTTACAGTAATTAATATTAATTTTAGCCTTGAATATGTATGTCATTTTCTATTTTAAGACTTTTATGATGTATTATAATGGGTACAGTCCGTGTAACGTAAAAGTTAACAATACGAACGATGCCCGAATCATGTACGGACGATGCCCGAACGATGTACGTACGCTTCCCGAACGGTGTACGAATGCAAACGAAACGCTGACCGAACGTTGTACGGACGCTGAACGAATGATGTACGAACGAAACCATATACCATAAACCATACCATAAACGATAACATAAGCGCCCTTTTATCGTACATCGTATGGTTTTGCGTACATCGTTTCATTAAGCGTATACCGTATCGTTTAGCGTATTAGCGTACATCGTATCGTTTAGCGTATATCGTATCGTTTAGTGTACATCGTTTCTTGGCGTGCATAGTTTCGTTTAGCGTATATGTTTTTTTTTAAATATAAAACATGAATGGTGTTCTGTTTAATTTTTTTATATAGGTGATAATAGGCGTAAAATTTAGATTGGATGCATGTTTCAGTTTTTAATTAATAATTTAATAAATTATAATTTGATCTGACTCGATGTTGATCCAAAATTATTTACATAAAACGTTTGAAAAATAAACACTGAAATAAATTTAAACAAATTAAAAGATACGATTATGAATTTTGTTAGCCGTAGAAATACGTACTTGGTGAATGTGCGTGTAAACTGCAGTCTGCATGGTATTTAGTCAACATTTTTTGAAAATAGCCCAATGTATTAACATTATTTTTTTTACCTAAATGAACAATTGATTTAAGATGGAATTCGGAATTAATCTAATGTTCTTACAAAAGTTTATTTGGGGTCTTAAGGTTGACCTTTTGTCCAAAAGGTTTGTTAAATATTCTTATGTATTCTCTTTTATCGCATGTATTTTAAAATCGACTGAATAGCAGTTGTATCCATATATCGTAATTAAACCATTTTTTTTAGATTATAGATTTTTTTTATTCATCTATCAAATCAGTCGAAAAAAAACAAATATTCGAGAAATTTCAAATAAAAACAATTACTCGTTATGTGCCTCATCAACCCTAAACATAAATCCCTACCGATGTACATACGATTGTGTATTATTTTAACTATAAATGCGCTTGACTTTAAACTATCATCAACAATTGTCCAGTAAAAAAAACTAGACCCTCTATTCTTTAATTTTCTTATACCATTTTCCTCTGTTCTTTATTTTTCCCGTTATACTCTATTCTAATTTTATATTTTTTTTTCTTTATTTTCCTGTATCTATACCTCCTTTATTCGGAGCAACCCCACCCTAAATATACATATGATACACACGGTCTATAGGTCATCGCTTGTGTCGTGATACATGTTTGCATAACAAAGGATGTCCTTGTTCATATTTATAACATTTTAAATGTCCTCCTAATAATACATATAATAGTTGCCACTGGACATTAAACACCTAACTCTAAATTCATCCGTCATATTCTTAGTTTTGTTATAATGTGTAAATCACACAACAAGATGAACAAATAATTATTGCAGATTTTCACTGCCGAAATAATGGGAAATAATTGTAAACAAAACCACTCAATCACATCCCTACGCCACAAAGTCTAGCCTTTTCACATGTAAATAAATTATTTTCATAAATCTATTTCAAAATAATTTTAAACAATTTTAAATCAAACGGTCATTTTTCTTATTTGCCAAAAAAAAAAACAACATCAAACAGTTATTTTCATTTCTTATTTTAAACAGATCGATTGTTTTCAATGGTCGGTGCCTGACAGCATCTATAAAATCTATCACCATGTTTGCCAATAAGAAAGCTTCATAGAACAGGAAAACAACAATGTCTTATAGAAATACTTCCAGGCCATATTTTCCAATTTCTGTTGTAATGTGGTTTAATGCAAAAAAGGTAACTCCTGAATACTGATTTGTACCTATCAAGCATTTGGGGTTAATAACAAATCTATGGTAGTCTCTTTTTCTTTACTCGCAAAGTATTCGACTAAATCATGTTTTATTTATGAAAATTGCTCATTGCTGACAAATGTTAAATATTGATCCCTAGATTTTCAATTGTTTAGTTGTTAGGTTACTGTCTGACATTTTATGGTCATTATGTTTTGCATCCAATTGCACCAATTTATTAAAAAGATATTAACGCGACACCGTACGAGAGTCGTTACTTTACATAAACTACTAGTATTTTTTTTTTCTATAACGAAATACGAAACCACTTCTCGCAATTCGCTTTGGGGTAATTGTGCTACTCTTTTGACAAAATATGGCCTTGTCTCACTGAAAAACAAAAAGTATAATATAATATAGAGTAATATATAAAACTGGACTAGAGTGAAGAGTTAGGAAGAAGGAATTCCGAATTTTAATTGAATGTTCTAAATCTTTGTGTATTTCTGATAAATGATTGTACAGACTCAAAAAAGTCTTTGTTTTGCTGAAATGAAAGGTCACCGTCAACAGCCAATAGAAGCAAAATGGATATAGTAGATCTTTCTAATTTTGAAAATAATATTTCTGTTGCTTCGTTGATAAATGGGCACTTAAAAAATAATGAATACTATCCTCAACAGGGTGGCCATAACTGCATGCGGGATTGGGTTTAATATTAATAAGGTTTAAATCTGCATTTGAAGAACTGCACCATATTTCTCAACTGTGTATCAATGATATTAAGATTTCTATCACCACAACTAAACTAGGAAGTGCTTACTGTGAATAAATTATTATACTCAGTTTACTATTGCTTACAACAATTTATCACATATAATACCACGTTAACAATTAGGCCCGAGAACACAGTTATTTCGTAGTGCATTTCTTTTAGACAATAAATTCAAATTAAAAAAATCGCACCTGCTCTATCTCAAGAAAGATTTTTACAGTGTAGTGTACTACTATTGGGACAAATAATATCAAAATTATAGAAACTTTCTACCAGCTCCAGAGGAGGGGCGACAGCCTTAGGTGCTGTGTGCAAATTTTTGTAGGTCACGTGGTACGATTTTAGCGTCTCTCGACAATTTTGAATCTGGAAAAGATCGATCTGTTCATGTTTTTATATCAAATATACTCTCTTGCACTCGCAGAAAATATAGAAAGTTTTGAAATAAAAAGATTAATCAATGATAGAAGATCACTTTATATGAAATATTTTCTTTATGTTTTTTTATCTTTTAAGTAAATTCTATCAATAAAGAAATGCACTGTAATGGCGGGAAATTTTATTCAATCTCTGCGAAATCACGAGGCACAGATTTTTGTAAATTTTACAAATGTCAGCACGTGAAAATCATTCAAATTTATGCCAATTAAAGAACACTATTCAAACATTCTAAATCTTCTTAAGTCTCCAGCCGTTGCTTTGTAATAAGTCGCTAAAATATGATTTCCGGTAAGTAAAATATCAATAATATTTGTCAAATCCGCTAGTAATTATGTTATTTAAGGCATATAAACTCTTATATGTATTTTAATCATTTTGAAAACAAAATGAAAATTTTGTCTTATGAATAACCATCATGATAAATATAGTTTTTTTTTCATAATTGAATCGTGCATTATTTGTGTATTGGATTGCTTAATTGCCTTCTCTCTAGTGTTATCTCTGTTTTGTTAACTGACAAATGACGAAATAATGCAATATTTAAAATTAAGTATTTTACAAAACTTTGTCCCGATTAAAAACTTAAAACCGATTGAATAAATTGAGAATTCAGTGATTATCGATGTCGAAATTAGCCCTTGGTAATAAACAGTTAGTTTGGGTATAAATATGTTTATTGTCAAGAAATAACTAACAAATTTGTTTATTATATATGTACAAAGTATATGTATATTGCATGATCAGCCCTCCTGTATATTACTTGTTTTTTTAATTGATTCAACAAATTTCGTTTGTCCAGGTGTCATTAACGGTGATGTCAACACCACGAGTAGTTTGATATAAATGACACAATACCACCTCGACCGATCGATAATATAAGACAAATCTGCGTGCCGTGTGCAGAGTGTCGTCCCTCCTCTATACCATCTCTAACCCAATATTGACAATTCTGTGATAAGGGGGTCTAAAATTCAGTTTGACAGCTTCAGACGTACTAATTTTTTACCCCTATTTTAACTGGTCCAAATCACTCCTTAACATAAAGATTCAGCACCCAAATTGTTTTAACATGTAATTTCATCCCCCTTCTTGATATTTCATGCATTAAATTTCAAGAAATAAATTGGGAAAGTATATCCAAAAAAAAATGCAAGTTATACACTGTTCACACTAGGGATTATATTCGTAGGGTGACGGTGTTTGA